GGAGAGGACGAGGACAGGACAGACGTAGACAGACAGACGACAGACAGACAGACAGACAGACAGACAGACAGACAGACAGACAGACAGACAGACAGACAGACAGACAGACAGACAGACAGACAGACAGACAGACAGACAGACAGACAGACAGACAGACAGACAGACAGACAGACAGACAGACAGACAGACAGACAGACAGACAGACAGACAGACAGACAGACAGACAGACAGACAGACAGACAGATAGATAGATAGATAGATAGATAGATAGATAGATTGACGGACGGACGAATATATATATATATATATATACACCAAAACTCCACATCACACAAAATTCTCTGACAGACACAAACACAGCTCTCGACAGCTGCTATGCCTTGTGCACACTCGTGTCGACGCCTCTCCTCTCCTCTCCCCTCTCTCCATGCGCAGGCTGGAGCGATTCCGCTCGCCGACAATGACCCGCGGGACAAGTACCTGTACGAGCTGACCGTCTACACGGGCTCGCGTAAGAACGCCGGCACGACGGCCAAGGTGACCATGATCATCACGGGCGATCGCACGGAGACCGAGGCGAGACTGCTCGAGGACAAAAAGCGACAGGTGCTGCAGCGCTCCGGCGTCGACGCGTTCATCATGGCCGTACCTACCCCGCTCGGCCAGCTGTCTCACCTCAGGTAACTACACGTAAGCTATCTCACCTCAGGTAACTACACGTAAGCTGTCTCACCTCAGGTAACTACACGTAAGCTGTCTCACCTTAGATAACTACACGTAAGCTGTCTCACCTCAGGTAACTACACACAAGCTGTCTCACCTCAAGTAACTACACGTATGCTGTATCAGCTTCGCTAACTGTGCGTGAAAGTAACATTGCTTACATACAGGTAAATGTGTTTAAATTTCCCGCAGGTAACTTTGCGTGGTATCTCATTAACATTTAATTGGTTTAGTCTAGGAGATAACAGAAAAATCGTGCAAATAATGATACAAGCAACAAACTTGGCACACTTGTTCTCCAAGTGAAAGAGATACTAATCAAATCTGCCCGATTGGCCAATTGAAAATCCAAGATGGCGGCCATTTTTCAAGATGGTCGCCAAATTAGCCTCCCGAAGTTGACGTTTTGCGTAGAAGTATTTGTAGTTGTCCGATTTGCATGATCTAGGTGTGTTTTCAAGCCTGCTGAAGTAGATTTTCCTGTTTATAAAGCACACTGACACATATTTTTCTCACTTTGCACATTTGTTTATTTTCATACGTTTGCATGTCTATGGGGTGTAGGGGTGTAGGGGTGTAGTGTTAGAGGTAGTACCTTTGTTTCAGCAGTCAGCCACATCCATTGGATGGACTACTGGCACTGGTTCTCACCACTGGCCCAACTCTTATCTATGGCTCCAAGAAGATGCTAGTGCACGGCATCGGCCACCGCTCAAACTAGAGTCAGAAATGAAGGTTAAGAAAGTTCCAGAGCTTCCAGAAGCATACACCAATATTCGACCAGCATACATCACGAAAAACCCCAATCCTCCTCCAGTAGCAAGCCAATCCTTACCAGCACCCGAGTCGATCTGGTCACACTTGAAAGAAGAATATTCTTGGTTGGAGGAAGTCTTCCTCACTGAGGATGTGGCTGATGCAGTCAGCACATGGTCAGCCCACCATGCAACGCAGAAAAGGAGCCATCTATTTGAAGTGAGCATTTCAGCAATGCTGCTTCTGTGGCGAGACCAGGCTCACTCTGTTGCAACGATCAAGCATGCCATGGCGAAGGTCTGTGATACAGTGGCTTTCCTGAACCCAGGGCAGACACCTGTCATTGCTGCTGACCAACCGTTGTATGCTCTGGCAAAACAAATACAATGGAAGTGGCCCGAATATGGAGAGGACAAGTTCGTGATTATGTTCGGTGGACTTCATATAGAAATGGCTGCACTGCGATCAATAGGAACATTACTACGGGACAGTGGCTGGACCAGTGCCATTGTGGAAGCAGAGGTGGCCTCATCTGGTACAACAGAGTCTTACCTGTCTGCATCCAATGTCACCAGGACAAGACAAGCACACCAGATCACTGCATGCAGCTTGTATAAACTGATGAAGAAGGCATACCATGATTACCGCTTTGAATAGTCTAGCATATCAGATATAACCTTTGAGGATTGGTGTGAACAACGGAGGAAAGAGAGTCCGCAGTTCCAGTTCTGGAGTCTGGTGCTGGACATGGAGCTCACCATATTCACCCTGATCCGCTCATTCAGAGAAGGCGCCTTAAACTTGTACCGTGAAGCACTTTCAGAACTGGTGCCTTACTTCTTTGCGAATAACAATGTCAACTATGCGTGATGGATCACAATTCACCTCCGAGATATAATGTCACTTGAGCAACAATATCCAGATGTGGCCAGGGAGTTTCACAAAGGAAACTTCGCCATCCACAAGTCAAGAAGAGAATTCTTTGCCCTGGCAATCGACCAAGCACACGAGCACAATAATGCAGTGATCAAAGGTGACGGAGGAGCGATTTGGTTGACAGAAGACCCGTCAGCACTTCGTAGGTGGATGGTCGCTGGACCCGAAGTTAGTCGTCTAGTAGCTGGATACGAGGCCATGTCTGGTATGAAAGATGTCACCTACAGCAGCAGACACCATGAGCAGACACTAAGTGCCCAGAAATCTTTCGTTAAAAAGGTGAAATCACTCTCTGCAGTGATGCAGGAGATGGGCAACCCATTCCAAGAAGAATCAGCCGACCTGCTGGTGCTAGACACGAAGAACATTGCAGACCCAACTCTAGCTGAAATGGTAGCTACACATCACCGGCGGGGTAGTGAGCAGTTCCAATCATTCATAGAGGGGCTAGAGGATGAAGTTGAAAGTCCTTTCTATTATCCAATCAAGAAAAACCTTGTTTCTTTCTTCAAACAAGAGTAGGCTGAAGGAATTTCTAAGGAGAAAGTCCTAAAAGACGACTGTCAGTTATTCTCGCGACTGTTCATCTCGTGCCAGAACAGGTAGTGTGACTTGCAAAAATTATTTAAGCACGAGAATCAGTCACACCCTGCATCTCTCAGTGACAACGGTAAGCTTCATACGTGTCAGAAGTCACAGCTGGTTGAAATTCTTGAAGTGCTAGTAAACATCCCAGACAGAGAACCAAAGGGAGATGCAATCATCATTGATGGCTCAGCACTTATCAATGCCTTACCTCCACGTACTTCAAAGACATTTGATGACTATGCTAAAAAATACATCATCCCAAAGGTGGAATCCTATGGTGCCAGGTACGAGCGGGTGGACGTAGTCTTTGATGTGTACAAGAAGTCAAGTCTGAAATCCGAGACGAGGTCGAAAAGGGGGCAAGGAATTAGAAGAAGAGTGACAGGAACGAGTAAGACACCAAGTAACTGGTAAAGCTTCCTTCGTGACGCCAGCAACAAGACTGAGCTGTTTCACTTCCTTGCGGAATAGATGTGTGAAGCAGAGACGACAAGCACAGTCATCGTCACAAAAGGAGAAGATGCCATTAGCAACACAAGGAAGTCTCTGGATGCTGTGTCCCCATGTTGTCATGAAGAAGCTGACAGTCGAATATTTGAACACGCCAGGGATGCAACGACTGATGGGAGCAAGTCTATTATCATTAAGGCTAATGACACGGACGTGCTAGTCATAGCAATATCTGTACTGCCATCCTTACAAGAACTAGGTCTGGAGAAAATGTGGATTGCGTTTGGCCAAGGAGCCAAGATGCGATGGATTCTAGTCCATGAGGTAGTTTCTGCAATAGGGCTTGAGAAAGCTAGAGGGATCCCATACTTTCATGCGTTTACTGGATGTGACGTCGTGTCTGCCTTCCGTGGGAAAGCGAAGAAATGGAACGTATTTGATGATGTTTCTGAAACATTTACTAATCTCAGCCAGCATCCAACATTGATTCGTGATCTTGACCTGCAGAGGCTGGAGAGATTCGTTGTCCTCATGTACGACAGATCAAGCGCAGCCACTGGTGTGGACAAAGCAAGACGATCTCTTTGCCCGCAAGCAGAGGCCGTACAACTCAATTCCACCAACATAGGCAGCCCTCAGAGAACATGCAAAGCGTGCGGCCTATCAGGCTGGGATCATTTGGGGCCAGACAACCATCTCCAATCCAGACACGAGCAGTCCCGTTGAATGGGGGTGGACACAGAAAGGAGAGACATGGCAGATATGTTGGACAACACTACCACCTATTGCAGCGAGCTGTCGGTAACTGACGAGGTGTTCCTGTAAGAAAGGTTGCAAAGGAATATGCAAGTGCTTTCAGACAGAGCTCCCCTGCACATCACTCTGCAGCTGCATATGTGAACAGTAGCAGCTGGAGGACCAGTGGACCAGTTTATGTATAACTTTGAACATTTACTAGCTGGGGCAAAGCTTACGTAATGAAAAACAGACAATCTGGTGGCCATCTTGAAAAACATGTGTCAGTGTGCTTTATAAACAGGAAAATCCACTTCAGCAGGCTTGAAAACATAGGAATCCACACCTAGATCATGCAAATCGGACAACTACAAATACTTCTAAGCAAAACATCAACTTCGGGAGGCTAATTTGGCGACCATCTTGAAAAATAGCCGCCATCTTGGATTTTCAATTGGCCAATCGGGCAGATTTAATTAGTATCACTTGGAGAACAAGTGTGCCAAATTTGATGCTTGTATCATCATTTGCACGATTCCTATCAAAAATGGCTGTTATCTGCCCCACTAGTAGAGTGTGTAGTGAGTAAAGTTTTCTGCGAACATATGTCTGTGTGGGAGGTGTTTCACTAGCAGGTAACTGGGTGAAAGGTGTCTCACTAGCAGGTAACTGGGTGTAAGGTGTCTCACTAGCAGGTAACTGGGTGTAAGGTGTCTCACTAGCAGGTAACTGGGTCGAGATCCTTGTCCCCACTTTCTTTCCGACCCAATGGTAACAATGGCGCCCATGGGAGTACGGCATTGCCGACTACAATGGCTTCCTCGTGGGACCGCCCAGACTACGGCAGCTGCGCGTCAAGGAGGGTGGGTGATTCATTCACGGGAGAGGGGATGAACTGCACTGTAGTGGGTGGCAGTGGTAGAAGTGTGTATCATGTGATTTATGATTCACACGGAAGAGGGGGGATGAACTGCATTGTCGTGGCAGTGGCAGAAGTGTGTATGTGACTCACATGACTCGCACGGGAGAGGGGAAGAACTGCACTGTAGTGGCAGTGGTAGAAGTATGTGTGTGATTCATGACTCACAAACGGGGAGTAATTACGTTAAAGTGAGGGATAGAAATATATATATAGGCCTATATATATATATATATATATATATATGTGTGTGTGTGTGTGTGCGCGTGCATGGTTGCGTGCGTGCGTGCGTGCATGGTTGCGTGCGTGCGTGCGTGAGTGCGCGCAGCGCGCGCGTGTTGTGTGTGGTGTGGTGTGTGTGGCGTGTATGTGTGTGTGTGTGTGTGCGTGTGCGTGCGTGCGTGCGTGCGTGCGTGCGTGCGTGTGTGTGTGTGTGTGTGTGTGTGTGTGTGTTGTGCGTGTGTGTGTGTTGTGTGTGTGTGTGCATCATGACTATCGTAAAGGAAAGAGACATTTGGTGTGTTATTGAGAAAGACTTCCAACTTGCCGACATATCACAGAAATTAATCTGCTACGGTCACGTTAGTACAGAAACTCGCGCGTACAGTAGGCCTACAGTATGGCGGGTGTGAATTGATCGTAAAATCATATGGAGTGACAGTCGACCGTTGCTGCCACCTCGTTTACAGACTCATGCGATGTGCCAAAGCGCGATGAATTTGCTGACAACACGCTGTAATACCGAGTACAGCTTCAGTAACGAGGATGAGGGAGACTACGGCATCGGCTGGGCCCCGCTCAACTACTCAAGTAAGCTCGACGCCGACGGCTCATCTCAAATGGCGGCGTCTTTACGAAATGAAGAAACTCCATGTGTTTGAAGCGCGTTTACTGAGCACTCGCAATGAAGCGTAGTAATCGAGAGGGAATTTGAGAATGTGTAATGAATTTAGTAATACATTTGAGAGGAAATAGATAGAATAGTGCCATGTATAGCTCTAATGCGGGACGCCAGCGCCTCACATATATGCACAACGATGATCGTCTGCTGAGTCTGCTCGCAAACTGTCAGCTGCATCCATCAATGTTGCGCGTACTCACGCGGTGATCACAATCGCTAATGATTTTGTCATCGAGGTGTTCTGTGTTGATGCCTTTCAGATGAGTCAGTCTTAATTCGATTTTATTATGAGTAATTCTATTTATGATAAATAATCACGTGTATGGTATTTTAGTTGCGCTCTATTGAACTCAGATTTCAGATTTTATCTCATTGAATTTTTATATGATAGATATTACATGACAGT